GAGAGAGAGAGAGAGATTGGTGACTATGGGACTTGACGACATTTGGATTCAGACTCGACATTGGGATTGAGACATTGGACGAGGGATTATTTGGGACCTGTACCGAAGACTTGGTGTTGACGACATTCCCATCTTCCCCCTCTTCTTCGTCTAACCCCCCTCCCCTTCGTCTATGTATGGTTGGGGACTGGCGCATTCTTCCTGTGCGAGCGCCAGGCCCTTTCACACCATGGAATGATGATGATGTATGCTTGGTCTGCATTGCGACATTAATTGGTCTGATCATTGGTATTTTAGCCTTCCGCTGCGCTATCGTGTACATGTGAGAGAGGTCGGTTCTTGTTCTGTTCTGCACCTTTACCGTATGCAACACATACTTTCTTCCATTTGTGTCCCAATTTCTGATTGCTCTGCAGGTCTAATGTCACGGGTAGTTTGCGAGTTGATACCTAGTGACTGTACACAGGAACGTCCACTGTCGCGGCAACTTACACGTGCAGGGTCCACTTCTCCCTGATATCGCAAGTGAAATGAGCCAAGTACTCGTCAAGTTCAACCTCGCATACATCAATGAACATTCACATGAGAGTTCACACGTTAGAAGCCAAATCGAGATACACTCAACACTTGAAGATGTCGTCTCCAATATTATTATCAATATACAAGAATGTTTGTCTCCAGCGGCTCTGCCGCACACACACACAACGGATCTCAACCAGATAGCGGCTATGGCTTCTCCCCTCTTCTCTCTCACTCTGACTTGACTCGCTCTGCCTCACTCTCTCTCGTCTCTCTCTCTCTCTCTACACCCTGGATTGTGACCCTGGATACACCCACTCAGGCAGCTTACACCTTGGCGGATTTGGCCGCCATCCTCCTGCTCTACGTCTAGCCTAGCTATGGAGTATCTCACAGGCGCCCTCTCCTTCTTCAGGCGCACAGTGCCCAAGTTTCCTTAACGCACAAGCAGCAGCAGCGCTTCCACATCTTGCAACTGCACCAGTCATGAGCTGCTGCACTGTAGCAGCTAAATATAGGACTTGGATTCGCTGGGCTTGGCTTGGCTTGGCTTGGCTTGGCTTGGCCTGCTTCAGACCGGTACCGGTTGGCCGCGGCCTGTCTGCTGCAAACATTTTGTCGGTCCGGTAGCTTCCGGACTTTCCTGGGACATGCTGCAAAATTGGACTTGGGACTGTCGGACTGGACTGGACGCTTCTGAACTTTTCTTTTCGGGTACCGGACGGACTCCTACCGACCCCTGACGCTTCGGTACTGACACCTACCGACCTATGACACTTTGGCCTCTAGCCCCTACAGCCTACCCTACCGGACGACCCTGGGACTTGGGACTTGTCGGGACCCTGCAACCGGGACTGGGTGTCTGCAGCGTGAAACCTTTCACAAGAAGGGAATTGTGAGGATTGAGCCCTCAACGGGGCCTTGCCGACATACATACATTCTGGGCATAGGCCCCCCGCAAGCCTCGTGCCCACCCTAAGTGAAGGCGGGCCAGAATATCCACGAGAGGCCTTCATTCAGCATTTCCCATAGTGGGTATCAGACGGTTGCCGCAAACCAGTTGGTTGAAGTGCATCGTGAGCCTCCGACTCCTGCAAAGGCAGTTGAGCCCAGGGCCGGGGTTGGTTGACCCCTGGCCGACAGTCTGGAAGGCTGACACATCACACATTGGTCCCTGGCCTATGGAAAAGCAGTATTTCGTCGTAGAGGCCAGGGAAGCCAATGGGAAACCGGTACGGGGCCTGAATCTGGACAACGGCCCTAGCATAAGGGGCGCAACTGTATTACTTGGGCCCCATCTGCATTGGGCCTGGGTACAGGTACTGGGGCCCAGGCGCAGGCTCAAGGTAGACCGCCCACACGCAACACTGGCATATAGGCAAAGCGGGCGAGTGGGCAGGGATCTTGGCCATTGCGAGGCGCTCCGCTGCGCTAAGCTGTTGCATTGCGAGGTGCTGCGCTGCGCTAGGCTGAGAGCAGGCAGGCTGGCGCTAAGCGGTAGGGCGCAGCCTGGGCGCAGGGCGCTGGCAGCCATAGTCGGGCTGCATGAGAGCGCTGAGGGAGGTGAGGGCGAAGGTGGTCCTTCGGAAGGTGAAGGGCGCTGTGTGGGATAACAAGGGAGAGTGAGGGAGGAGAGAGAGTGACAAACCATTGGTGTTGACGTCATCACTCGCTGGTCGTCAAGTAGTCTGGTTGCTTCCATACTGTAGTTGTAGGATAGGCTGTAGAGTAGATAGGGTGACTGGCGCCATTCAAGAGAGAGAGCTACATTGGATTATGCTGTTGGTGTTGCCTGATTGGGCTTGGACATTGACTCACGATTTTACTGTATCGTTCTCAAATGGATGGTTCCTTGGTTCCAATGTGCTATCTGCTCTTGCTTTGACTACTTGGACTTCGGTGTGATTTGCAATTGGAATTTTTGTGCTTCATCCACATTCATGTTCCTTGCAGAATCATTGGTTTCTCACCATCTGATCAAGCTTTGTAATTTAAGAATCGGAGATAGATCTTCGGGTGGAGTTTGTGAATTATCATCAATATTTCCCGGTCTAGTTGTGTGGCTGAACAGCTGACAAGGTGCAGTGAGCTAAGAGCAACCAGAAATGTATTCATACGACAAGTTGATGAGCCAAAACTGGATGAAATTGCCGGCACTGAGGTTTGAACTCAGGAGCTTGGGCAGTGCGCCGGAGCCGGGCTTGTTCCTTGGATTTTGAAGATGCATGGTAGAGCTGAAGCACAAGGTAGAGAAAAAGCAGACACTCGACCACTGAGTCATGGCTGCTTGATGACTGGATTTTCTGAGGTCAAGACCTTCAGCGTATGGAGCAAATGCTCTACAACTAAGGCATGCCGGCTTAGCGAACAACTATGAACAAATGCCTGGATCTTCGGAAGTGCATCGGAGCCGGGCTTGTTCCTCGGATTTTGAAGAGGCATGGTAAAGCACAAGGTAGAGAAAAAGCAGACACTCGACTACTGAGTTTTCTGAGCGTTCACTCTCAGATGCTGCAGCGGGATGCCAACTGATCCTAGGTGATATAGAAGCAAGGCAATTTTATTTTATACTTGTTGGATGTTCACAGCAGCTGAAACAGGGATGAGAGGCTCTTGGAACAAAAAGAAAAGGAAACAGGAAAGCTTGAAGCAAGATGATTGGACACGTACCTGGATTACAACTCTGACATGTTTGTTCTGTAACAGATGCGTCCACCAAAGCCGCAGGCAGCCACATAACTCCCCGACACTACAAAACGGGTCAACAATTCCAAAATGGTTAGAAGATTCAGACTTTTTCTTTTCTAATCAACGTAAGCATACTTGTGACCTACCACATGCATGAAAAGTGGGCATGTGCTCCTAGCAGCCTGCATCCATACAACTGCTTCCCCCCCCACCCCACCCCATTCAATAGGTAGGAGCGGCCGGCAGTTTGTACAAAGGGCAGGGACATAATCAGCGCGAGCTGACGACTCATGCTTACCAGCCCAGCCCAGGCAACTGTTGATAAACAGAGCTAGTTGAAATCCTGCTGGAATCAGATGAACAAAATAACTCTGAACCATCTGGAGGCCTTCGGCTCGGTGATGACATCTCACAACCATCCCCCTTCCAAAACTAAATAAGTTAGTTGTAAGCTTATCTGAAACATTTGACTGGGACAATGTCCCAATATCCAATTCATTGACTTTGTAACAATCAACAACTGATTCCATTGAGAACTTTTGAATGCTAACATTGCTAAGTCATTCTTTTCAATATACGCACAGCACACAGCATACCGCATGAGCGTGCTGGAAGAATGTTAGCAATGCTTTATCCAACCCTTTCAAGCAAAAGGAAGATCCACAAAGAGGGGTTCACTGTCAGCAACATAATTGCAGTGAATGCCCAAACCAGCCATGGAGGGATCTCAAAAAAGATCCGTAGATTTATTCGGAAATTTTTTCAAAAAAATGCTCTGAAGCCGCACTCCACCGTGGACTTGGAAGAAGAAGCCTCTGCTAAAGAGTGAGGGCATCCTCACACAAGCACTTTTCAAATGCATGCCACCAAATTTGCACACCTGACAGTAGGCAGCCCCTGACTGGTCGGTCACTTGTCGGCCAAGCGCAAGGGTGGGGGATCCTCACACACACGCACACACACACACACACACACACACACACACACACACACACACAGAGAGAGAGA